CTGTTTCTCCTAAGGCCTACATTCCTGGAAGGCAGATAGCTAGAGGCCACCTCCTTTTCTTGCCCTATGGACTTCCCCATATGGCAGATCATAATGTGACAGCAGGTGACAGCAGGCTTCCTCAAGCTTTGTAAACATGCAAATGAGAAAAGTCAAAGAACGCAAGCAGTCTTTGTAGCCTAGTCCCAAAAGAGACATCTCATCACTTCCTTAGAAACAAGTCCTAAGCTCTCACTCATACTCAGGGGAGGGGATGATACAAGGTCATGAATACCAAGGGATGGGGATCACTGGGTATTCGAAATTGCCAGCACACATGGTTAATGATGCTATTGGGTTAAAAGTTTCTTTTTGACTCTTGTCTTCTCAAAGGAAAGAATTCAGTTGAAATGCAGATAGTTTAAGCAGAAGCTTATTTAGCAAAGTAAAGCAAAACAGATACTCCAAGAAGAGAACAGAGCCAGCTGAGCCAAAGGGCAGGTAGCACTGCTTTGACATTTTAAAGAAATTTGTATCAATATTTATGAGGTGGGTGGCATATTCATGGGAGTAAGGTGACTTTTATTCCCCTCCAAATCACAGTAAACCAGATCTCCCTTTTAGGGTATTTCTTCCCATGATCCTCTTTTAAGCCCACAAAATGGGTGTCAAAACCACAATGCGAGTGATACTATAATGAAGCTGGGAGCATGTGTGGCAAATACGAAAGTTCCTCGAGCTTTGCTATCAAGCAAAGTCAGAGCACAACCAGGATGGAAGCCAGTTCCTTTGTTTCCTGGGGCCTGGGTTTCTGGTATAGTAGGGCAAAGCTAGCTATGGCTTCAAGGATGTCTAATGCCAAATGCAGCAATCAGAACCACAGGAGACTAAGCTCCCAACACACAGCTGCAGGTTCATTGGTTCCCTCACATCTTAAACAACTCCCAACATGCAGCTGCTGTTTCCTTGGTTACCTCCTATCTGACTACTCGCCTACCAGGTCTCAGTGACACATAGCCAACTGATTCAAATGGAAGTTCTTTTCCTCTAGTGCACATCCTCTTAGCCACATTATGTGGTAACACACCTCTCTGTCTCGTCTCTGAAGTGTACAATTTACACAGGCATGATGCTCAGCACATAAAAAGGACTTCAGAACTTTTCTAGCTAGCAAGTCAGATGCTAGACCGCTAAACTTTTCACTCCCAGAGACCACATACATATGCAGTTATACCTCCAGGCCAGGGAGAGAATGAGAATGAGTGAAACTGTCAGAGTGTGAGGCGAATAGCAGCAGTGACAACAGTGAAGACTAGATGGGCCTACTTCAAGGGGGCAATTGTTTCTCCCACCCAGTCTGGCTCCCAGTAGAATTGTGTGCCTACAGTGGCCAGGAAATCTCATTCTCACACATAAGGTTGGAAATATGTATTTTTAACATGAAATTGTCCAGTCCCCTACTTGGATGGATGGCTCAGTGATTAAGAGCACTTCCTGTTCTTCCAGAGGATCTGAGTGCAGTTCCCAACACCTATATTGAGAGGTTTATAACCACCTTTAACACCAGTTTCAGAGGATATGATGCCCTCTTCTGGTCTCCTTGTGCACGTGCACACACATGACATATATTCACACAGACACACTCACACACACATGCATGCATGTGTGCACATAAATATTTTTTAAAGTTTTTCCGTTTGTGTGTGTGTGTGTGTGTGTGTGTGTGTGTGTGTGTGTGGTGTATGTTTTTCTATGTGTGTGGGAACACATGTGTGGGTACAAGTACACATGTCTGCATACCTGCACATGTAATTCCAATGGTAGGAAGAATTATCCTTGATCTTTCACTATATTCATTGAGGTAGGGTCTCTCAATCAAACACAGAGCTCACCACTATGGCTAGACTTGCTAGCCAGCTTGTTCTAGAATCCCGTTTCCCTCTTCCTGCACTGGAATTGCAGGAGGGCTATGGCACCCACCTGGCATTTTACATGGGTTCTAGGAATTCCAACTTTGGTCTTCTCATTGAGCTGCTGAACTATCTCCCCAGCCCTGAAATTATCCAGCTTTAAATCTTGGCTAGTAATTTTAAAAATGTATTTAATATGGTATGAACCATAATCAAAACATACCTGAAAACCAATTCTGCCCTTTACTTCCTTCACAGCCATCATGTTGGTGGCATCTCCTTCTGTTCTGTTTATTATCTTTGGAGGAAACATATAGTTAAGGTCAAGGAAATATTGTCTGTGTTGTCATAGGGAAAGGATAGAAAAACTGGCCCTTTCCTTGACACTGGCCACTTAACTTGGGTCAGGTCAGAGCTTTAATTTTTAATTTTAATTTTAATTTTTTTGAGACAGGCTTTCCCTGTAGCCACAGCTAGCCTGAAACTTGCTATGTAAACCAGGGTAGCCACAATCTCACAGAGACCCACCTGCATCTGCTTCCCAAGTGCTGTGATTAAAGACATATACCACCATGCCTGGCTTCAGAAGTTCAATTTTATTCAAAAGATTAGATTCGATTTTTTCCAAACCATTCTCACAATATAGAGCTTTAGAAAAATGGCACTTGGTGGGGCATGGTGGCACATGCCTTTAATCCTAGCGCTTGGGAGGCAGAGGCAGGCAGCCTGAGATCGAGGCCAGCCTGATCTGCACAGAGACTTCCAGGCCAGCTGTACAGGGAGACCCTGTGCCACAGGAAAAAAAAAAAAAAGAAGAAAGAAAGTGGGACATGTAGCACAATTGGTAGAATGCTTGCTTAGAATGCACAAAACCCTGAGTTCAGTCCTCAGTTCCATGTAAAGCTAGGCCTGGTGGCACACATGGGTAATGTCAGCATCTGGCAGGAGGATCAGAAGTTCAAGGTCATCCTCTTCTACAAAGTGACTTCAACACTAGCCTGTACTACATGAGACCGCATCTCAGAAAAGTAAGATGTTTTTAAATTTTTTATGTGGATAAGTATTTTGCCTGCATGTATGTAAGTACACCACATTCATACAATGCCCATGGAGGCCAGAAGAAAGCATCCCATTAGGGAGAATTGTTAGCCACCATGTGGGTGCTGGGAATTCAGGTGTTCTGCATGAGCAGCCAGTGCTCTTAACTGCTGAGCTATGTATCTAGCCCCCAAAAAGTTTTTTTGGGGGGGGCATTTTTATTTCAGTTCACTCTAGAACTGTCCTCTTATTAAGTCAATGAGTCATGTAGTATTCTCTACATCATCCTTGCCCATTTTTCTTTAAAAATTGTCAATGGTGACTTCACTTCCCTCTTAGGAAACTATTTTAAAGACAAAGTTATGGAGACTAGAGAGTTGGCTTAGTGGTTAAAAAGAGTGGCCGCTCTTGCAGAGGACAAGGGTTCAATTCCCAGCACCCACATGGCACCTAACAATTGTCTATAACTCCAGTTCCAGATCCAACCAACACCCTCTTCTTACCTCTGTGGGTATTGTACAACATGGTACACTTACATACATGCAGGCAATACACTCACACACATTAAAAGAAAAATAGACAAAATTATGCCCTGGTATGGTGGCACTTAAAGGAAGACTCGGGTGGAACTCTGCGAGTTCCAGGCCAGCCTGGTCTCCATAGCAAGTTTCAAGCTAGCTATGGCTACATAGTGAAACCCTGTCTCAAAATTTAGAAAAAAAAAGAAGGAAAAAAAAGAAAAAGAAATTCTGTAAGAAAACTTCAAAGCTATTAAACAAATACAGCAGACCATTGCATGATACATCAGTGTATTTGGTCCCTGGGATTGCTAGACTTGATCATATGTGTACATAAAATGTAACTGATGATACAGTAAACTCTGAAGATCATTAAGATGGGTGAGACCATGTTTAGATATTGCTAGGGTCTGATCAGGTAGAAAAAATGAGGAATTCATATGTCTTAGGAACTTCAGGGGAAAAATCAGCACAGTTCAATACCTAAGGAGGAGTGACTTTTAAAATGTTTTCTGAATAGTCTTGCAATATGTTTATTTACTAGTTTCAGAAAAATAGTTTAAACAAAAGGTGTTTATTATTCAGCTTCAACACTGTAAAACCAGTGGTAAATTGTGTGATGGTTCACATTCACTCTGTCCAGAGGGAGATGGGTGATAATTTTTGTATATTTTATTCTTTGACAATAACTATATACATTAATGAGATACAGTGTGATATATTCATATACATATACAATGTAAAATGATATCAGACTACTTAACATATCTATCACTTCACATACCATTTATGTATAATGAGAGCATTTAACAATCTACTTTTTTAGAATGTTTGGAATATATATTACTACTAACTATGGCCACCATGCTATGTAATAGATCTTGAAAAATGTAATCCCCTTCTCTAACTGAAACTGTATACTCTTGGGTACATCTCCCTGGTGACAATTTTTGACTTGTAAATTTTATATTCCATTTCAACAAAAGGGAAAGACATACTACAGTCTCGTTACCTCATAAATAAAGAAAATAGGTGCTGATTAAATGGCTCAGTGGGTAAAGATGCTGGTTGCCCGAGCTGCTGACCTGAGTTCAATCCCTGGGACAGACAGACACACACACACAATTAAAAAAATTTTAAGAAGAGAATGGATATAGTGGTGCATTCCTATTATCCTAGCACTCACGGTCTATGGCAGAAGAATTCCAAGTTAAATAAATCAAGCTGAGCATGGTAGCACTTGCCTATAATCCGAGCACTCAAGAGATGGAGGCAGGATAATCAGGTTCAAGGCTACATAGTGAGTTTGAGGCCAGCTGGGATACATGAGACCTTGTGTTTAATTAATTAAAACAAGCCAAGAATTAGCCTTTAACATTTGCATGTTGCTTGGTATGTAGTTCAATCTTGATTTTGTTTAGTCTTGTCTTTATACATAACTACATGGAAATCAATTTTATAAATACTTGCATATGATGTGGCATACTCTAGATTGTTAGTATACAGGGTCCACCTTTCCCCCACATTCCCTGAATTGTTGGACGTGCCATTTCAGTGATTGAGGGAGGACCCCTGGAATACAACTACCGACTGAAGCAGTTCCATTTTCACTGGGGTGCCATTGATGCCTGGGGATCTGAGCACACTGTGGACAGCAAATGCTACCCAGCAGAGGTATGTTCAAACAGTCAGGAAGAACAACAAATGTGGAAAAGTGGGGATATTTCTGTGGTTTCTTATTGACTTAGGTGATATTTTAAGTCCTATTTAGCTCTCTTGGAGACATGCTTGATTCTTGCCATCTTAAACATGTAAATGTTATATACAGCTTCAATAGTATAGGTGAAATAAACCTTAAGATGCTAAAACTGAATTCTTCTAGAATTCTAAGCTAGGAACAAATCATTTCTAAAGTAATAAGTCAGGCAGCACTGTAGAGTTACAAGGTTGAATTAATCCAAGTGGGAAATAGCAGATGCCCAAGTAAAGGCTGTGGCAAAGGAAATAGAGAGAAACATGAAAATTATCAAACAGTTCTAAAATCAAAGCACCAGAATGTCGCAAGCCACGACTCTGTCCAGCAGAGCCGAGGAAAAACGACACAGACACCAAGGTGAGGTTCAAGCTTCTGTTTCTCTTTCTCCTTTATTCTCTCGTATTCTCTTCACTATGATGCTGGCTC